CGATGATCTTTTCAGTTCTTCACTGGATGGTGGTTAATGATTGATACGGCTGCCATTTATACACCACTTAAGCAGTGGAATAATGTCTATATCATTGTTACGATTGCGGGTACGATAGCGATGTTCATGTAAGTTCGTATTGTCAGCGGAGCGATTGTCTCTTTTATTTATCCCTTTGGTCTGGTTTATTTTTTATCTCTGAATGGATCACTCGAATATGTTCGGTATTATTGTACTTGTTGTTCATTGTGTAGCTGGATGCAAAATTCAGGGTGAATGCAGTATCGAATAGTCAAGTTCGAGGTGAGTCGATGCAAGAGGGCTTACTTGGCACGAAAGGTTCGTTGTTTCAACCCTAATTTCATTCGTTTTTCAGCTGAACTGTACTTCACTTTCTATAGAATATGTCAAAAATTAAGCAAATGAATGATGAATGAGTAATTTTATGTGGTGTTTTGATTAAAAAGCGGTTTGACTGAACCGTTCTTTTCAAATTGAAGGGTCACGATTGTGGTTGATGTGTGGTTTTGTGCTATCGTTTGCATCGCTGGTTGCCGCAATATGGATANTCAAATTGAAGGGTCACGATTGTGGTTGATGTGTGGTTTTGTGCTATCGTTTGCATCGCTGGTTGCCGCAATATGGATAATGTTCTCAGATTACGTTCTGGTGGTTGGCGACCATCCTGTATGGCCTGGTGTGGCGCTCTTCGTACATAATTTTCTAATCTTTATCGCATCACTTGTCTATAAATTTGGACGTACTGAGGAACTTTGGGGTTAAAGGGAACAGGTTTTGGATTTAGTTACTGTGGGTTTTGATTTAAGAGTCCGTCCGAAAAGTCGGTGACATGTGATGAAGGATGTGTATATAATGTTATCGTTTATAATCTGTTTGCATAAGTGTATGGGAAATGAAAAAAATGAAATGAACATGGTAAACTATGAAATTCATTTAGTGTATGACTTCAGAAATTCAACTTATTGGATTTTTTGTTCGACCACTTCAGTTATGAATTAATTGCGTGATCTCGAAATATCAGTGTTATCGTGTGCAAAATATTTCCCTCCCTCTCATATAATCTTTTTATTCCGCGTATTTATGTGAGCTTCTCAGTTCAGTTGCCATTTTTCATTTGCAATTTGATGAATTATTTTTCTGTAATCTAATCATCTATTGAACCCA